ACCTCTCCCATGGATGTGTTAACCTTGCAGCAAACAGTCCAGAAGGTTATTAATGCTAATAAAACTGTTTTGCTACATTTTATACACTCTGTGTCTGGACCACATTACCCAAAAGACATACTGGCATTTGCTAGACAGTCAGGGAAGAGAAGGTAGTTTCCGGAACCCTGCAGGTTGGATGAGCCCTCAAAGTATTGTCCTGATCTACTCTTTACACTTTAAGCCAATAAAATATCCCCTAAAGTCTTCTTACAGCCCAATAACAGTTTTATTTAACTAGTCAAAAATGCTTTGTCTGCCTTGAACAGTGTGTTTTTAGGTTTTTTCCCCTTTTTATTTTTATTATTTTGTGTGCGTGTACCGTCAAATCAGATCTGACTGGTACAGGAGGATATTGCTCCTCCTTCTCTGGCAGAGCATCTGGTGAATTCGAACCGTACACCTCTGGGATTGTAGTGCAGCTTCTTGCCACTAGGCCACCAGAGCTCCCCAAATGGTGTGTTCTTTTAAGACTTATCTATATCAAACAGCCAGCAACCCAGATTAGACAGGAACTTCGGGGAGAAGTGAGATCACATTAATAGCAGAGGAACAACTCAGAAGAGAAAGGGTGTACATATGCCATTACTGAACTGGACCTGGTAGAAAGTGCTGAACTGGTGCATGCTTTATTATACGTATATTCTCAATAATAACAGTAAATAAAACATGTTTCTACGAGTATAGAATATACCATGGACTGCTAGGAGAACAAATAAGTTTGTCCTGGAGAGGGTGAAGCCAGTCTGCTGCTTGGAGGCAAGGATTCAGAAGCTCCATCTGACATACTATGGACATTTTGCAAGGAGGGATCAGTCCTTGGAGAGAGCCGTCCTACTTGGGAGGGTAGAAGGACAGCACAGGAGAGGACTCTCAATGAGGTGGACTGCTGATTCAGTCACTGGGGTAATGGGCGTAGGTGTGTTGGAGACAATAAGATTGGTAAGGGATAGAGCAGGGTTTAGAGCTGTTGTACATAGGATTGCTATGAGCTGCAAGAGACTGGATGTCACATAATAACAGCATTATAAAAACAAAGAAAAGGAAGGGCTCTCTATTTCTTAGGAGTGGGTAAGACTAGGAGGCTAGGAAAGAGGGACTGACCCCCTCACCTGGCACCTCTGCCCAGTGACCTGACATCCCAGGGGACGTGCGCTGGCCAGCTCTGGGGCACCAGGCTGCCACAAGTGACTTCAGTAAACATTAGGCTCAGACCACATCCTCCGAAAAGGAAAGAATTTCTTTCTTTCCAAGACCAAACCAAAATACATGCCCAAATTTCTAGGCAGCCTGGCTTGTCATCTTTGAGGCGGGAGACCCCTTTGTCTCCAAATTGGCTGGGCTTCAAGGTTAGAAAGGTTTTAAGTAAAACAAAGTAAGACTGCCAGGTTCTGGCAGACAACAGGTATTAAATATGTCCAGGCTCCATTAGGAGCTGCCCGGGATGTAACAAGAAATGTAAGAAAATCTGCCACTTTTGGACAGAGCCTGAGATGGGTCCACCTTGCAAAGAGTCACAGAGGAGAGTAGCCAGGTCTGCCATGCAGTCCACGCAGAAAAGCCACTCTTCTCTGGCAGCTGTGAGATGTGGCCATCTCCCATCTCAGAGCTCAGTGCACAGCTCTGGTGAAGTCCACAATGTGTATTTTCGGACATTCCTGATCATGGAATCATACATCACCCATGAGGTAGCAGAAAATCTCCACCAAAAACACCACAGTGCAACAATGAATGAATGAGAACCCAAAATCTCTGTAAATGTTCATTAAAACTAATAAAATTTAAACAAAAAGACCAATGAAGTAGATTTCCCTCTTATGAGACACAAACTTACTCCCTCACCTTCTAACATTAAATCCAACTCAAAGGCCCTTTTTTTAAATTTTTTTTTTCTTTTATATGTACCGTCAAATCGGATCTGACTGGTACAGGAGGGGATTGCCCCTCCTTCTCCCATAGAGCATCTGATGGATTTGAACCATGTACCTCTGGGATTGCAGAGCAGCTTCTTGCTACTAGGCCACCACAGCTCCCCCTCAAAGGCCCTTCTTCATCACAGTCCATCAGGCAAGACTCACCTGAGGCAAACTCACCACAGCAGCTCCTTTCAAACACTTAGCACATGCCAAGGGCTGGCCCCAGCCCGTCAACCTCCCCTGTGACTGGCTAAGACAGAGTATTATAAAGCTGAGAAACTGAGGCTCAAGAAGAGCAGTCACTGGTCCCCGGGATGCTACAGAGATCCAGTGGGACCAACAAGGGAACCACTTAGTACAGCGCCCAGTACCCTTGTCAGTAGGTGCTACAGGATCGCTTCCAACTCACACAAGATGCACAACAGAACAAAAGGTTCCCCAGCCCTGCGCCATTCCCAGTCTCTGCTGATGTAAACACCAGTGAGTGTCTCAAAACTGGACTATTACTCTGCACAGTACAATGGACAGATGCAGGAATGCACCAATGGAAGGCTAAGCTGGATGTGACTTCTGAAAGGTTATGGTGGAGAACAGCCTAGGGGCAGAGGGAAGAGGCCTCAGATATTACCCCCAGGGAGTTCTGGCATTTGGCACGCCTCCCTCCAGCTCTCTAAAAGGCCGGCAAACCTGTGTGCAGTGAGATCTTTCTGGAGAGCAGCTCTGCAGCCCATAGCCAGAGTCATAAACATAGTCACACCCTTTGACCCAGGAATGCTACTTTGGGAAATATGGTGGAAGAAATCATTTTAAAGGGGGGAAACTAATAATAAAGCCATGTCATGTGTGGTAGGACGCTGTCCACAACATGAAGATGCCAACAACTCAGAGGCCTTGGGGGAGGGACAATGGAAGGGCGGGACAATGGGTATGTTGTGACCTGGGTGGGTTCAGGAATGAAAACCATGAGAATTAAGCAGAAAAATATAAAGCACTAAACAAAGTTGAGAATAAGAGGTACAAGCTTGAGGGACCAATATGAACCCAAACTAAACAGAGCCTCTGTAAACAGCTGGTAAAATCAGGCAGCCCTGGATTGTCTGTTGCTTGTGAAGAGAGGGACTGCTTACTTTTATTTTTAAGAGATTTCATTGGATACTCCTGGTTTACTTTAAATTTCTTTGTTCTGTTAATTAAATAAATACAATTTTAAAACAAAGACGGCTCTAAGTTGAGCCTGGCCAGGCCTTGAGATTCCTCAGAAGGGGGATGGTTTCTGAAAATGAAGCCATTTCAGGAGAATTCTTAGGCTTACCCTCTCCAGGCCAGGAGGTGCGCTCCTAAAAGACAGCAGCACCTCACAAAGCTCCTTTCAGCAGAGAAGCCACCCAGGGGTGGGTGGGAGGGGGTAGAAGTGGAGCTGGGAGGCTGGCTGAGAGGAGGCCAAGGCTGAGAGGCACCAGGCGGGCAGGGCAGGTGGCAGCCACCTGGGCCCAGGAAATAGGAAGGAGCTCTACCTGCAGGATAGGTGGGGGAAGGTGAGGGTGAGGACCAGAAGAGGTGAGGCCTAGAGGGAACCCCTTTTGCACTGGAGAAAGTCCCAGCAGCCACACCTGACTCCCTCTTATCCTGACACTGGGGTATCTTCCTGAGGAAGTTACCCCAGGCCCAGGCTTTGAGAGGCGGCTTAGCTGCAGCCAAGCCCTCCCTGGCAAAGGGCCCACGTGACAGAAGGCAGGTACAATATATTTAGGCACACAATCTCGGTACACTCATGTTGCTTGGGAGCGCGCGCGAACACACGCCCTCCCCTGCCATCACAGCCCACTTCCTCAGGAGACATGTAGTTCTTCTGGAAGGTGTCAGCTATCCCAGGCCATAGGGGTCACCTCACACTCCCCTCTTCTTCCTCTGCAGTGGAGGGTGAGAGGAATCCAGCCATCAACACCTCCCTCCTCTCAGGAAGACCCTGGTGTGAGCAGGGTGGAGGGAAAAGCCTCCTTCCCATTGTCACCCACTTCCTTCAATTCTCAATTCCTCTCTTGCTACTTGACCCGCCTGGCCTCGGGTCAGTTAACTCCTGATCTGTAAAGTGGGTCTAAGGACATCCCAGCCTGCAAGACGCATGACACACCGCTGACCCTCCAATGAGTATTCAGAGGCTGTAAATCAAACGAGAGGAGAGGAGAGGAAATTGTCTATCTTTTTTTTCCCCTCTCAGAGTGGATTTGAACAGCTAGCCTTTGGGCTGGCAGGCAACTCCCTACCTACGCTCCCTCATGATGTGTTTTGTGTACATGTTTAATCTCCGTTCAATACAGCCGTTACTGTTGTCGCCACCACCTCTAAATTATAACTTGGGCGTCGGAGAACGGGCTCACCCTTCGGCGCAAGGCCAGAGCTGAGCTGGGAGCGGAGGGAGCTAAAGAGGACACACACCCCCTACCCCCCTTCCAACCTTGGGGCCCACACCCACTCAGGGGACGGTGGAAAAGGTACCACCAGGGCTGGGGGGCCCCAGGAGCAGAGAAGGGTCTATCGGCAGGTCTCCCTGCAGAGTTTCCCAGGCGACGTCCGTTGCGCACGGGCCTGGGCGCACTGGGGCGCGCGATCGGGACCAGATGAGTGCCACCAACCCCACTCCCCTCCACATACAGTCTCTATTATCGGAGGTACTGATACTATGAGGTCCTCCCGGGGGGCGCCGCGGGCCCAGGAATCCAGCACCTTCTCGCCTCTCCCCCGGCAGTTCCGCCCCAGCCCGCAGCCCACAGCCCACAGCCAGCCCGGGGCGCACGGTGCGGGCTTGAGTACGAAGCAAACCAACGAGGTCCCGTGCCCCAGGGAGGCACCAGGGAAGAGACCGAGGACACTTTCGCACGCATCCCGATGGGAAAGCCGCCCCTCTCCTTCGTGCCCACACCCAGCGCGCGGCCGCTGAGCGAGGTGGGGACGAGCTTCGGGGGGCCACCCGCCCCCCAGCCGGGGCGCACTCGCGCGTGCCTGATGGCACCACGGGCCGGAACCGGGCCCGGCCAGACCACTCACCGATGGACACGAGCTTGATGTTCTCACGGTCCAGGAATTCCAGCGCCACCGACACATTCTCGAGCTGCATCTGGCGGAAGGTGGGCCGCTGGTGGTACTTGCGGTACATACGCTTCTGGCTGAGCACTTCCAGCAGCGCGATCAGCCGCAGCCCGTCGCTCAGGTCCGTCTGCAGGTTTCCGATGCGTTTGTTCACGCACTTGAGGTGCTCATTGCACCAACGCGTGAACGTATTCTGCTGGATCTTCTTCCACGGCGCGTCCTCCGCCAGGTCCTTCTCGGTTACCGGCATCCTGGCGGCGGGAAAGGGAACGAGGACGCGGGAAACGGCTGGGAACCGGTGGTAGACCCGGGAGTCGGGAGAGCACGAACCAGAGGAGGAGCGGGTGCGGGGAATCGAACTCACTGCAACCGGAGCCGAGACTGGAGCTGCTTTGTGGTCACACGCCTGTGGCTGTTCGAGGCCCCCTGGCTCCGCGCCTGCGCGTTGCGTCGTCCCGCCCCCAAAGCCCCGCCCCGCCCGCCCGCCCCGCCGCGAGGGTACCCTGTCCGCGCTCGCCCCCTGCCGCCCATAGAAGGCACTGTGACCCGCTCCCAGTGGTCTTCTTGTTCACAAGAGCACAGAACTGGCAGGAGGCAGAGGCCTGAATCTACTGGCTCACAGAGAATGGAAGGGACGTTGGATGGTGGGGAGTTAGGGGACTGGGGATCCGGGTGTGCTTGGGCATGGGGAGGTGCTGAGGGAGACAAGTTCATCTATAGATGCAGTAAGGTTAAGAGCCCCTTTTGGAACTCATGTGGTGGAAAGGAACTCTGGTGGCTCAGCTGTTCGAATCTACCAGTTGGTCTATGGGCTGTTGGCTGCCATAAAGATTTTCTGCCTCAGAAGTGTAATGACAGAATACGCCGTCCCCTTTTCCTTATGAATCAGGGTGAAGTCTCTCTCAAGGAGGAGTGATAGGGAATGACAAAGGACACACAGAACTGGCTTTGACAAGCACTGTGGCAATTGGACAATTAAAATAGACATTCGGGGGAGGGGAGAAGAAAGAACTGGGGAGGAGGGTAGAGAAAACAGTGCAACAATGAATGAATGAAAACCCAAAATCTCTGTAAATGTTCATTAAAACTAATAAAATGTAATAATAACTTTTTTTAAAAAAGGAAAAAGGGGAAAAAAAGAAGTGGAATGACACCACAGCAGTGGGTTTAGTTTTTGGTGGTGTGTGTACTAGACACCATGGTAAGCACTATTATTCATATAATTATTATTCATATTAATGAATAATGTGATTAAATGAGTTATAGTACTATCAATAGCATTTATTGGATGTCCGCTATTTGGTAGGCTCTCTTCTCAGTGCCTTTCAGTCAGTAAAACAAGACTTGTTCCCTAACTTCCAGCAGTTAATCTGATAGGACAGGGAGGAAAATGAAATAACAATCAAAGCTGGTAGTAAAAGTAGAAATTAGCAACAAGGGTTCGTAATGTATTAGTTTCCAGTGGATTCTGTAACAAATTGTCATAGATTTAATCATGCGCACTCACGCAACACACAGACACACACAGACTGAATACAAAGATGTTAAGTGCCATTCAAGTAAAAGGGAACCAATGAATAACAGATTTGAACCTTGTCCTATCCTGCGCCATCCTGTCTCCACTAAGCGCAAAACCATGATTGCAGTCACTGTGTCAGTCCACCTTGTGGACAGTCTTCCTCTTGTTCTCTGACCCTCCACCCTTCCACCCATGATGTCTTCTTCCAAGGACGGACCCCTCCTGACAACATGCCAAAAGTATGTGAAATGAAGCTTCATTCCGCTCGCAGCATCCTGGTTGCATTTCCGCCAAAGCAGACTTGTTTGTTCTTTGGACAGTATGTGAGATATTCAGAATCTGCCATCAACACCACCAAAGCAAAAGCATCAGTTCTTCCATCTCATTCATTGTCCAACTTCAACATATAGAGTATTAGGATAAACTATTCTTTTCTAGTTCTTTAGGTTAGGATTCCTCACTGGTTTGACTAAGCTCAAATCACTCTGAGTACATTCCTTTCCTGAAGCCTTAGGGCAGAATCTGTTTTCTTGCCTTTTTTAGCCACATTCCTTGACTTGTGGCTACTTCCTCCATTCGAAAAGCCAGCAAGCTTGGCCCAAGCCCTTCTTGAACTGCCGTCTCTCAGCATCTTCAGTCACATCATACACTGACTCTTTTTCAAAACCAAGTAATTCCATGGGGAGCTCTGGTGGCCCAGTGGATAAGGATTTGTGCTGCCAAATCAAAAGCAGCTGGTTTGAATCCACCAGCTGCACCAAGGGAGACAGATGGGCCATCTCCTTCCATATTATTTACAGCATCTGAACCCTTCACTGGAGGGTCAGCTATGAATTGCCTCTAACTTGAGGACACATCACAAGAAGTAAATCCGGAATCTGAAATAAATTCCCTCTTGCCCTTGAAAAAAAAAAAAAAGAAGTAAATCCATGGAGTCCCCTGAGTGGTGCAAACAGTTATTGTGTTTGGCACCCAGAGGCCCCGCTGAAGAAAGGCCTGGTGAGGGTTTTTTCCCAACAAATGAGCCATTAAAGCCTCGATGAAGCACAGCTCCTCTTTAACACAGGCAAGATCACTATGAGTTGAGGTCCACTCCATGTACATCAGGCTCATCCAGATAATTCAGGATAGTCCCCCTACTTTAAATTCAGCTGCTTAGCAATGTAATTTCACCCACAACTTTAAGTCCCCTTTGCCACGGAAGGTTCCAGGAGCACAACAAGGACGTCCTTGTGTATGTGCTTCTCTTGTACTCGTCCAGGCTCCAAGATCCAAGCCAGACCTCTGCTCTCAACCACCTGAATGACTATTCGTATTTATGAAGCACTTGCTAAATACCTATGCTGGGTGCTATTGACCTCATTTGGCAAGACCAAGCTGAGTGATTCAGTTACATGGACACACAGTGAATTTAGAACTAGAACCCCAGCCTGTGAGACTTATAAGAGTCATTTTAACACAAGGAGGGAGAGGAGAGGCAGAGAGTATCCGGAGACCAGAGGAGGGACATTCTAACTAACACAGGCTTCAGGGACAAGGTTAAGGCAGGCAGGTAGGCTTCCTGGAGGAGGAAGAGTTGGTCACATAGAAATCAAGAGCTTCTAGTTACAGTGTTTCCCCAGGATAAGCTGGTAGGTTGTAATGTGAATGCATGCAACACTGAAGCACTTTACCCAGAAATAGTGTCTCCTTCCCTGGACATGCTCATAACAGACTGGGGAGGAAGTATATATTATTACCTGTCCCATAGGCCTGCAGACAGGTCAATTCATTCTGACTCATAGTGACCCTCCATCAATTTCTGAGGCTGTAAATCGTTACAGGATGAGATTGTCCCTATTAAACTGATGGTTGGCCATTCCATTAGCAGTCCCACATTTCACACACTATGCCTTGAGGGCTCCTAGGCCCATAGTTGGGGTTGGAGAATTATTGAAATGTTCAGTCCTGCCCTTAGGAACCAGGTGAGGAGGTTTACTGGAGGTCAGCTGGCAAAGACGAGGCAGGATTTGAGCTTAGTTCTGACCCCCAAAGCCCTCTCATCTGGGACTTGTCAGCTGAGCAGCTGTCCACTAGAGGCCGAGTAACCTTTGCCTCCCAGGCCCAAGGCTCCCAGTTCCTCATGCTCTCCTCCACCCAAATTCATCCATCAAAACTTATCGCCAGTGTCTCACTCCCTTGGGTGAGACAGGAACTAATGGATCCACTCAACATGCTCGGCAGCTGCTTATGCACCAAGTCTCCTCTTTCTTGACTCAACTGGGTAAATAAGGCCTGCATGTAAATATCCTGTCCACTTCACTCGGAGCTGAGTCATCCCGGGCCTGGGGCGGGCCAGGTGATTCTCATCATGCAACTGAAAGGCGTCTTCTGCTAATTTCCTGTCCCCTGTCTGGTCCTGTGCTCTGCTGGGTTTTTATTCACTGGTTGGTTTTTCATTTTCATGAATCACCAGGCCTTTCTTCCAAGTTTCCTCTGGGTGCCTTCAATCTTGAGCAAAACTCAGTTCTCTAGGAAAAACTCAACAACTAGGAAAGAAGAGAGGGGCCGGTGGCTTTAGAGATGAGGGCAGATGCAGAGATTTTTCAGACGGACCTTTATCAATGTGTAAAGGGCAATGAGGTCCAAATAGCTGTACGTGGAGTGCATTAACCAATGTTTTCATCATCTGGCAAGACCTTCATTTAACAAATACCAAGTCACTGACTCATAAACTGAGTTTGTAGGTTGCTGTGGTCTCTTGGTAGAATCCCAGAGCAGAGTCAGGTAGGTGTGAAATGCTCAGCCTTTGTGGCTGATTTCCAGCTGTGGCCTTGACCCCTCCCTGTCCCAGTTTGAGTCACAGTACGTGCTGTGTGCAGTTCAGTTAGCTGTTTGCAGTGGTCCGTTGCTGAAGGAAAGCCAGACTCCTCTCCTGTCTTTTCACGCCTGTAGCCTTACAGGGATGGCCGAGCCTTGGGTTTAAGATGTGGGAGAGCCTTGGCTATCCAATACAAAGATAAAGAAAGCCACGTGTTTTGTTTTTTTTTTAAAAGGCACTTATGTAATTTAAAATTTTCTGATAGCCATGTTAAAAAAAGAAAGGAACAGGTGAACTTGGAACCAAAATCATGGTGACTCATTCCAAGAATAGCTAGTAACTGAACGTTACGGTGACTCTCTGAGTTTGTTTCTCCTAAAAAGGCATATTGATGCCCTATCTCCCTGTACCTGTGATCTTACTTGGAAATAGAGTGTTTACAGATGTAAATCAACCTGAGGTCACATTGGATTCAAAAAAACCCCTCCAACAGTGCCCCCGTGTCAGTTCCGGCTCATAACAGCCTTCCACTGCGTTTTGGAAGCTGTAAATCATAACAGGAAGAGATTATATTATCTGTCTCGTGTAGAGCCACTGGTGGATTTGAACTTCCAGAAACTACTGGCCTCTAGTTGCAGTGTAACTCACTGCAAACTGTACAGCCAGAGTTCCTTTAAGGGGCTGGGGGGGGTGGGGGTTTAAGGCCAGAAATGCCACACCTCAGACTCCTTGCCATTTAGAGCTGCCTCCCAGCTGAAACCTCTTCTGGGTTTTCAAGAGGCTGTAAATCAAATGGGCAGAAACTTCTTTTCTCTTTCCCTGTTGGTCACCAATGGATTCAAACTGCCAGAGAGGCCCACCTTTGAATTAGCAGCCAACCCCTTACAGACGTGGCCACCAGAGCTCCCCTGACTACAGTAGGGTGAGTCCT